ATGATAGATAATGGTGGTGGTGGTGGTGGTGATGATGATGATGATGATGATGATGATGATGATGATGATGATAATATCCCTGCATTGGCAGAATGGGATTGGATTGGATTATGGTCTAGGGTTGTATGCCTTTATTATCTGAAAAATATTAGGGGGCACCCAGGGCTGGAGCAAAGGCAGGTAGTCTTCTCTCCTATTAATGGAACATCTTGTCTCCAGTACTTTACTAATATTATAATATAATATCTATAATATTATACAATATTATGTATTTATATTACATGTAATATTACTAATAATATTACAATATAATGGTACTGATATTGTACTATGCTAATAATATATTGTATATACGTATAATATTTATAATATAGTACTAATAATAATACAATATTATAATTATATATTTTATATTACATGTAATATTACTAATAATATTACAATATAATGGTTTCGTACAATATAGTAATATATATATATATATTTATTTATTTATTAATGCGCTTGTATACCGCTAATATCTCAGCCTAAATCGGCGACTCATTGCGGTTTACAACACTTAAAAAACAACAATATTCAATTTAAAAGCATAAAAACACATAAACCATACAAAATTATTGGGCCACCAATAACAATCCAAATGCATCTCGTAACTGGAATCGCAATCCAAATTCATCGTCTATGGTTACCAATCCTTAATCATCAAGATTCGTTTCGTCGGGTTATCCGAATGCTTGTTCAAACATCCATGTCTTCAGTCTTTTCCGAAATACCATCAGCGAGGGGGCTGATCTTACCTCTATAGGGAGGGTGTTCCAAAGTAATATATTATTACTATGCTAATAATATATTGTATATACATATAATATTTATAATATTATAATTAATACAATATAATACTAATCATACTACAATATTATATTTTATATTACATGTAATATTACTAATAATATTACAATATAATGGTATAGTACAATATAGTCATATATAATAATGATATTGTACTATGCTAATAATATAATATATTGCATACACATATACCTTGTAAGCTGCTCTAAGTCCCCTTCGGGGTGAGAAGGGTGGCATATAAATGTCGGAAATAAATAAATAATAAATATGTATTGTCGAAGGCTTTCATGGCCGGAATCATTGGGTTGTTGTAGGTTTTTCCGGGCTATTTGGCCATGTTCTAGAGGCATTTTCTCCTGACGTTTCGCCTGCATCTATGGCAAGCATCCTCAGAGGTAGTGAGGTCTGTTGGAAGTAAGAAAAAGGGGTTTATATATCTGTGGAATGACCAGGTTGGGACAAAGGACTCTTGTCTGCTGGAGCTAGGTGTGAATGTTTCAACTGACCACCTTAATTAGCATTTGATGGCTTGGCAGTGCCTGGGGGTATCTTTTGTTGAGAGGTGATTAGATGTGCCTGATAGTTTACTCTCTGTTGTTTTGGTGTTGCAATTTTAGAGTTTTTTTCATACTGGTAGACAGATTTTGTTCATTTTCATGGTTTCCTCCTTTCTGTTGAAATTGTCCACATGCTTGTGGATTTCAATGGCTTCTCTGTGTAGTCTGACATGGTGGTTGTTGGTGTGGTCCAGCACTTCTGTGTTCTCAAATAATATGCTGTGTCCAGGTTGGTTCATCAGGTGCTCTGCTATGGCTGACTTCTCTGGTTGAAGTAGTCTGCAGTGCCTTTCATGTTCCTTGATTCAAGGGAAAGAGGTGGTGGCTACACTCATCTCATGGCTGCGGTCTTGTTTCCAGATGCTGAGCGGCAGCATGAAGCTCCAGAGACGCTTCCCTCGGAGGCCACGGCACACGTTTGGTCGGATTTCCTCCGGACATCTCTGCACCCCCGGAGCACATTAGCCATCCAACAGTACAGTCACGAAGGGTAAGGATCTGTTCTCTGTACACATTGCAGATTTTTCCATCTCATGTAACAAAAATAATCTCCAGAATTATGTTGCCTCTTGCAGGGATTCGAGTCAACTCGAGGCCTTTGGGCAAGGAGAAAAGCTGCTACAAAGCGCTGCGTATGCCGAGGAGCTGGAAGACAGGCTGCATTTCTATGTGGAAGAATGTGACTACCTGCAGGTCAGCACTGCTCTTCAGGCATTCAGTATGAATAGCTGTGTTTGAAATGAGGGACCGCTTGGTTTCCTATGTGTTTTCAAATGTCATGGGCCCCATTCGTCACCCAAACCTGACTGGTTGGGTTTGATGCTTTGGATTTTTAGAGGTGTTACACAGGACAGATTAAAATAAATAATGGTTTTCCATTGTGATCCCTGTGAATCGCACATATCGTAGTTTCTGCACCTGAGCCAACAGCATCGGAACCTTCTAGATCAGTGATTCTCAACCTGTGGGTCCCCAGATGTTTTGGCCTTCAACTCCCAGAAATCCTAACAGCTGGTAAACTGGCTGGGATTTCTGGGAGTTGTAGGCCAAAACACCTGGGGACCCCGCAGGTTGAGAACCACTGTTCTAGATAGATTTGAAAAAAACTTTGGGGGTTAGCCCCGCCCACTCTCCCCTTGCGAGTATAAGTATCAGTTCTTTTGATCCGCCGCTCTGTCAGCCGCTAAGAACCTTCATCGTGTGACAAGCTTATCGGACTGCCAAAAATGTCTGGACTTTTTATTCTTTGTCATTGTTCTCCTGGTGTGACCCGAACTGCTAATTGGACTCTGACGTTAGTATACCCTTATGTGTATACCCAAAATACCACATGTGCGAATTCACAGGTGATCACTTGGGAAACTACGGTTACAGGTAAGCAACCTATGTTTCTGTAATTTCTGTCTTAAGCATTTAGCAAGAAAGTGTTTCCTGCCATTTTTGGACTCTTGCTTGCTGAGGTGTTCCTGCGAGGATCTATGTAGGTTTTAGGAAGCTATTTCTTGATTTAAGGCACTCCCGTGTTGGCTGATATCTGAACAGAGGATGGGCCCGAAATGTCCATGCCTTGGTCCTTTCATTGCTGGCTGCTGCTTCCCACCGTATGTCAGGTGGTGTAACACCAGCTGAAACAGTGTAATTTCTCCAGTGGAGTTGGGCGTAGACATCCTGTGATAATGCAGCATGTCTCATTAAGAGCCATATCTACTGCTTTAACGTGGTGAGATGTGTTCCAATCTGGGCATGCGTATTTAGCAGCAGAGTAGCAAAGCACAAGGGCAGGTGTCTTCACTGTATCTGGTTGCGATCCCCAGGTTGTGCCAGTCAGCTTTATTTCATACTAGCTTGGGGACCCGGCACTGCCCGGGTTATTTGAGAAAGGCATTGTGTGGCAAAGGTGTTCTTTATCAGTTATCAGTTAGTGAAGGTACTGCGAATCCCATTATGCAGTCTTTGTTGGGGGCTGCAGAGTTCTGTGGGAACCGAAGGGTTGGAAAGTACTACACATCCCATCATCCACTGTCTGTCCTTCCCCAAACCTCACCAGGAACTAAAGGGAAACATGGGGGTTATGTGTGCCAAGTGTGTCATCGGATCAGTCATCGGATTGATCAGTCATCGGATGAGGGTCGCAGCGGTCTCGGGAAGTGAGTGGAGGTACTTGGAGTCCCATTATCCATGGTCCTCCCTCCTCCAAACTGCAGCAGGCAGTAGATTGGTTCACGGGGGCTCTATGTGCCAAGTTTGGTCTTTATCAGTCTTTCTTGGGGGCCACAGTGGTCTGTCGGAGCCGAAGGGGTTGAAAGTACTACAAATCCATCATCCTTTGTCCGTCCTCCCCCATACCTCACCAGGACATACAGGGGGTCATGGGGGTTATGTGTGCCAAGTTTGGTCCAGGTCCGTCGCTTGTGCAAGTCTCTGTGGCCTGTGAAAGTGGGAGCCAATTAGAAAGCTGCCACATACACTTCCGCCCTCCGCATACATACATACAAACAAACATTCACTTTTATTATATATATATAGATATAGATAGATGATATTATCTCTAGCACCTACGTTTTGCTTGATAGTCAAGCAGTGCATCTTGTAAGTCAGAGCATGGTCCAGAGTGACTCCCAGCTGCAATGCTCCAGTGGGATTCCTTCCCAGGTAATTCTCAGAACGCAAGATGCTTGTCCGTTCTTCGGTGAAAAGCACAGATCTGCGTTTTAGATGGATTAGGAATCAGCTGGTTTTCCTTGTAATAGGCAGTAAGAGCACCTAAAGCTTCGGAGAGCTATTCAACCATCTCAAAGCTCGCTGCTTGAGCGGTGATGGCAAGATCGTCTGCATAGATGAAACTCTCTGTCCTGTCTGGCAGAAACTATGAGACTATGCCACAACCCAAATGTGTTTGGCCTTACTTGATAAGATCATGGGCATCATCACTGTCGTTTCCTGTTTAAGTATCCTTGCAGGGTATTTGTGATGCAGCAGGATAGGATAGTAAACTGAGATTTAGCAAGAGCTTGGAAGTGCCACTCCTGCAATGGCACTTTGATATGGCAGAGTACAATCATCATGCGCTTCTTACATAGGGTTTCCAAGTCCTCTGCGACCTGCACAGCGGTTTTTCAGGCATTGGGGCGAAGGTTACCGAGCTACTTCAAGACGAGTATGCCGGGAAAGGAGTCCTGACGTGGGGCCTGGCTCCAATGCACAAGTCTGCAGTGAGTATGAAAGAGTTCATGCACTATATTACACCTAAACATTAGGACAGCAAGAGCTATTTGGCAGTGAAATATCGTCAATTGTAGGCCGGATTGAGGTATAGGGTGGCAACCTGTGCTAGACGGGGTTGCACTCCCCCTGAAATCACAGGTCCGCAGCTTGGGAGTCCTCCTAGATTCAGTGCTGACGCTTGAAGCCCAGGCGTCGGAGGTTGCTTGGAGGGCCTTCGCACAATTGAAGCTCGTGCGCCAGCTGCAACCATACCTTGTGAAATTGGATTTGGCCAAGGTGGTCCACACCTTAGTTACCTCTAGATTGGACTATTGCAATGCGCTCTACGTGGGGCTGCCCTTGAAAACGGCCGGAAATTCCAATTGGTCCAACGGGCAGCAGCCAGATTACTAACTGGTGCAAATTACAGAGAGCGGTCAACTCCCGTTTAAGGAGCTCCACTGGCTGCCGTTTATTTTCCGGGCCCAATTCAAGGTGCAGGTTTTGACCTGCAAAGCCCTGAACGGTTTGGGACCTGCCTACCTGCGTGACCGCATTTCTATCTACGAACCCACACGACCTCTTCGATCTTCTCTCACTTCCGCCCACATTGCAAGTGCGACTTGTGGGGACGAGAGAGAGGGCCTTCTCTGTGGTGGCCCCCCGGCTCTGGAATTCACTCCCCAGAGATATTAGGCAAGCCCCCATGCTGGCAGTCTTCAGGAAGAACCTGAAAACCTGGTTATTCCAATGTGCCTTCAATGATTGAAAGTAAGATACTCCCTGACCAAACTTTGCATAAATGGCCTCAGAAGCACTTTATTTTATGGTTTGTGCAATTAAACTTTTCTTATCCCTGGATCCTCCTCCCCGATAATTTATATTGTCCTATCTCCCTGTGTTTTAAAATTTTATCATTGAATTTGGCCCTGCCCAGTCTAATTCTCTGATTTTTAATGTTTTGATTTGATTTTGCTGTGTTGCTTATTATATTGGCTTTGTATTTTATGTATTTTATGTTTTTGGTTTTGTTATGCATTTGTGTTATATTGTGTTTACTGTATTGATGGGTGTGGCCTCATGTAAGCTGCACTGAGTCCCCCTGGGGAGATGGAGCGGGGTATAAATAAAGTTATTATTATTATTATTATTATTATTATTATTATTATTATTATTAAATATGTTGCCTCGGGAGTCCAGTGGAGTCTCCTTCTCTGGAGGTCTTTAAGGCTGGATGGCCATCTGTCAGGAGGTCTTCAATTGTGTCTTCCTTTCATCTGTACATCATCTGTACGCAGATGATGTCCAACTCTGTCACTCCTTCCCACCTGCTACTAAGGAGGCTGTCGAGGTCCTGAACCGGTGCCTGGCCGCTGTAATGGTCTGGATGAGGGCGAACAAATTGAAATTAAATCCAGACAAGACAGAGGTACTCCTGGTCAGTCGCAAGGCCGAACAGGGTATAGGGTTACAGCCTGTGCTGGATGGGGTCGCACTCCCCTTGAAGGCGCAGGTTCGCAGCTTGGGTGTGATCCTGGATTCATCATTGAGCCTGGATCCCCAGGTTTCAGCGGTGACCAGGGGAGCATTTGCACAGCTTAGGCTCGTGCGCCAGCTGCGCCCGTACCTCGGGAAGTCTGACTTGGCCACGGTGGTACACGCTCTGGTCACATCCCGCCTTGACTACTGCAACGCTCTCTACGTGGGGCTGCCCTTGAAGATGGCCCGGAAGCTCCAGCTAGTCCAGCGCGCGGCAGCCATGTTACTAACAGGAGCGGGACGCAGGGGGCACACAACCCCCTTGTTGTTCCAGCTCCATTGGCTGCCGATTTGCTACCGGGCCCAATTCAAGGTGCTGGTGTTGGCCTACAAAGCCCTAAACGATTCCGGCCCAAAATACCTGTCTGACCGCATCTCGGCCTATGAGCCCACGAGGACTTTGAGATCGTCTGGGGAGGCCCTTCTCTCGATCCCGCCTGCCTCACAGGCACGCCTGGCGGGGGCGAGGGATAGGGCCTTCTCGGTGGTGGCCCCCCGGCTGTGGAACACCCTCCCTGTAGACATCAGACAGGCGCCCTCCCTTATGACGTTCCGCAAGAGACTAAAGACGTGGTTGTTTGAGAAGGCGTTTGACTAAGTGCTACAACAACTGGTAATGATGACTGGAACGGAATATGGAAAACGAGATTGGATTGTGATTCTATGATGAGACGCCGCGAATGATTTAGTGTAATTGTATTGTTATTAGTGATGCTGTTATTGTTGTTTCTGTAATTGCTTTTTTGTAAACTGTTTTTTATATGTTGTACACCGCCGTGAGTCGCCCTAGGGCTGAGAACGGCGGTCTACAAGTGCAGTAATAAATAAATAAATAAATAAATTTATATGCTTTTATTGTTTTTAACTTATAGAGTTAATATTGTTTAAATATTTTTATATTTTAAGTTGTACTGAAATGCTTTTATTTTTGTGCTGATTTGAGTCTTTGTATAGAGCGAGAAAACAGGATATAAATAAACATAACAACAACAACATACAACCCATCTCATGAATCACAACAAAGCACATGGGAAAGATGATGATGATGATGATATATTTATGACAGAATGGGGTCAGACTGGATGGCCCTATGGGTCTCGTCCAACTCCAGGATTTGACAAACTAGGCAATTGTATGGAGGGCATCTATTCCTAGAAATGAGTATATCTGATGTTAGCTCTTCTCTCATCTTAAAGGTTCCACAGAAGAATTTCTATCGGCTCATGAACACCGTCTTGGGGATTGTCAGCCTCTCCAGCCGCAGTTCACTCCTCTGTCCCTTGTCGCTAAATGGGAGCCTGGGCCTCCGGACAGAGCCTCCTGTCACACTGCCACACCTGCGCTATGAGGTGAGTGCCCACGCATGGCTACAGAAGCAATGTGCTATGCTGTAGTATGTACTGTTGCAGGCTGGTGGCTCAGGAACAAAAAAAGAAGAGGCGCAAGGCATTGGTTGTTGATTGTAAAGGAATAAGTTGCGTGGTGTAACAAAACAAGAGAACGTAAATCTCCAAAACCAGCTGTGTATCTGTGACAAGGCATAGTGTGCCCCACTCTCTAGAATGTCTAGATCTCCAACAACAGAGTAACCTCTTGCCTTTATAACAGGCCTCTCTGGACTACCACACCAGTGCCATCTTGGCCACAGCACTAGAGACGCTCACCGTTCCCTACCGACTCCAGGCCTCGACCATTTCCATGGCAAATCTTGCTGAGGCCCTGAATTTCTCAGGAAGGAAGGTACCGCATCATCCTTTCTTTGCCTCTCACTGCCCTTGACAACCCTGACTTTCCCACAAGGTGAAATGAAAACAATTATTTGTCCCCCATGCTTTTTAATATCTACATGAAACCACTGGGTGAGGTTATCCGGAGTTTTGGAGCTGGGTGCCATCTGTATGCAGATGACACCCAACTCAACTACTCATTTTGACTGAATTCCGAGGAAGCCTCCCAGACCTTGAACCAGTGTCTGACAGCTGTAATGGACTGGATGAGGGCTAACAGGTTGAAGCTTAATCCAGACAAGACAGAGGTTCTCCTGGTCAGTCGCGGGGCCGACTGGGGTATTGGGTGGCAACCCGTGCTCGACGGGGTTACGCTCAGGTCCGTAGCTTGGGGGTCCTCCTGGACTCAGCACTGTTGCTTGATGCTCAGGTGTCAGCGGTGGCCGGGAGGGCCTTTGCACAACTCAAGCTTGTGCACCAGCTGCGACCATACCTCGTGAAGTCTGACTTGGCCAGGGTGGTCCACGCCTGTACATCATCATCATCATATTTAATTACTTATTAATCGCCCTCCATCCGAGAATGCTGTAGGCGATTTACAGCTAAATTGTAAAAGTTGAAATACATACATACAGAAATTAAAAATTAACAGAGATCGAATGCTCTAGTAAAAAGCCAGGTCTTAAGTGCTAGAGTCTGACAATGTTGGCCACTCATTACGCCTTCTTTGCTTGGGGGATGGGCATCTGACCCAGTCTTGCTCAATTTGTATGGCGTTTACGCCTCAGACAAGAAAGAATAAGAGTGTTGACAGTTGACCACGATGGAAAAATACAGGTTGCTTACCTGTAACCGTAGTTTCCCGAGTGGTCACCTGTGAATTCGCACATCCCAGCCCATCCTCCCCGCTGTTGTCATGCCTCAGTTTTTCTAGCTGCTTCCGCGGCAGAAGAACTGAGGCGGTGGCTCGCCCATCAGCTACTTATACTCACAAGGGGAGAGTGGGCAGGGCAACCGCCAAAGTTTTCAAATCTTATCTAGAAGGTTCCAAAGCTGTCTGCTCAGGCGCAGAAACTACCATAAGTGCGAATTCACAGGTGACTACTCGGGAAACTGGTTACAGGTAAGCAACCTGTATTTTCCAAAATTCTTGCTTTTTCAATTTTGCAATGTGCTTGGACTTTTTTTTTTTAATCTCCCTACGGAGTATGGCCCACTTGCTGGTCTTATTTCTTTCCCGAATAGTACTTCCCTGATTTTGGCCCAGAGTGGTCTGGATGAGGAGGAGGGTTAACATATTGGGCCCTCTACAGGATGAGCAGAAAGGAAGCTGCCCTTCCATTCCTGCCCTCCTCTTTCCCTTTACCAGGTAGCAGCTGCAATGGCCGCCATACCGTTTCCTCTGATGCAGGGACAATCCCTTCCTGACGCTTTGTGCAGCCAACAGCCTGCCGTGCCTTGGAGCACCATGTCTTCGTGCCGAGAACAAAGCGACAGCCACTGTTTTGCACAGTCCGTTGTGCTGAGAGGAATCAGTAAGGAATACCAAGTCAGGTAACGTGTGTGGGTAAATAGCTTCTCACTTGCCTGCTATGTAATTGGCCTGACTTTTGGGTCTGCTTTGTGTTGGGGTTCAGCCCGTGTGTGAACCTGAACCTGATTCTCTGATTGTATTTCCTGATGCCAATGAAGATGTCGATTCTGAGGGCAATGTAGAAGATGAGGGTTTGTGTAGTGAAACTCCTGCAGCCTTGGAAAGTGAAAGTCCAAATTCCCATGAGACTATTTCAGAGCCAAGCGGTGAACTTTCCCTCCCTTTTCCTCCCACTCTTAGCTCTCCAGAGAATCTGACACCTGGTCTCTCTAATGAGGACAGGAGAGGGCAGATTTGGCAGAGCAGGGGAGAATCTCAAAGTTTACAAAGGTCAGCTAGACTGAGAGAAATGCAAACAAAACCGGCAGGCGTGTCATGTAACAGATTTCTCGGCCTTAAGAACCTCGCGCCTGGATGCATCTTCAGACCAGGCATCGTTCCAGATTCAAGCATCATCCTTGGCAGGTCTCCTGATTCCAGTGGCATTATTCCTAAGAGGCTTCCTAGTTGCTTCAAGTATGGTTAGTGGATTGCTAACAGGTTCCAGGATTTAGCAGTGTTACTGTGGGTTTTTGATCTTGTTCATGGACATTTCTTGTTGCTGATTTTTACTGTGGCTTTTTACCTTGCATATTTCCTCTATTTTTGTACTCATCTTTCTTCAATAAAAAAGGATTGTTTTTCCTGAAGTCAAGTGTGGTGGATTGTGGTCTGAGGGTCCAGTTTCCTGCTCTGGGTTGCAACACTTTGTTCTGGTCTTGCTTCCTTGTTTCTGGTCCTGTGTGTACTTTACTTAGCCTTTAGCACAGACTAGTTTACTTACTTGGATCTTCCCATGACCTGAATCTAACTTTCCTGTTTCTCTTACAGCCGCCCGCTATCAGGCACTGAACCCAAGTCTGTCCTGCACATGTGTGACACCGGGCAGGAGGTCCTGGCCCGCTACTTGTACATGGCATCCCCCAGAACCTTCAGGTGGGTGAAATGGGTGGTGGAATTGTGGGAGGAAAAGGTGATCGAGGCAGCAGGGTAATTCCATTTGTTTCTCTTCCAACAGCACCTCACATTTGCTGCAAAGCCCTACGAAGCTGTCAGCCCCATATCCGCAGTATTTCTCCCCTCTCCTGAACAAGCAGGGATTCCTCTTGGAGAAGCTGCCCCACACCTCTGCAGGTAAACAGCCTGGATTTGAAGAATCAGAAATAGGGGAAGCAGGAGATCATAGAATCATATAGTTGGAAGAGATCCCAAGGGCCATGCAGTCCAACCTTCAAACTGCAAGAAAGGAGATTCCATCTGAACATGAGGAAGAACTTCCTGACTGTGAGAGCTGTTCAGCAGTGGAACTCTCTGCCCCGGAGTGTGGTGGAGGCTCCTTCTTTGGAAGCTTTTAAACGGGCTGGATGGCCATCTGTCAGGGGTGATTTGAATGCAATATTCCTGCTTCTTGGCAGCGGGTTGGACTGGATGGCCCATGAGGTCTCTTCCAACTCTTTGATTCTATGATTCTAACCCTATTCTGCCAAATAGGAAGACACAATCAAATCCCTCCCAACAGATGGCCAGCTAGCCTCTGCTTAAGTCTGCAGAGAAGGGACTCCATCATAGTAATCATCATTTATTTATTTATTTATTTCCTATATTTTCCCGTCGTGGTCAGCTCTGAATCGCACATATGGTTTATTCCTGCGCTCACGCAGGCAGCATCGGAAATTCTCGAGACCAATTTGACCGTTGGAGTAGCCCCGCCCACCCCCCGAAGGGGTCTCAGGGCGGCCTAACCAAAGCATCATAGGATGCTAGCATCATAAAAACCACAGTACAATCAAAATATTAAAAATTAAGAGAATTAAAACAATTAATTAAGACACATCCGTTAAAATCAAAATCCAAAAACCAGTCCGGGTCAATTCATTGCCATAAGTTGTGTGATCTTCCACTTGCTGCTCACGGATCAAACGCTTGGTCCCATAACCAGGTCTTGATTTTCCTTCTAAAAGACAAGAGGGAGGTGGCCAATCTGATATCTCTAGGGAGAGCGTTCCGTAGGCGGGGGGGGGGGGGGGGAAGCACTGCTGAGAAGGCCCTGTCTCTCATCCCTATCAACCGTGTTTGTGATAGTGGAGGGATCGAGAGCAGGGCCTCTCCTGAAGATCTTAAACTTTGTGGTGGTTCGTGGAAGGAGATACGTTGCAATCAATGTTGATAGAATCATAGTTGGAAGAGATCCCCAGGGCCCCATTCTGCCAAGTAGGAAGACATCACCTAAGTTCTCCCAACAGATGGCCATCCAGCCAGGAAGGAAAATCCATCACAATTGTCAAAGATTATTATTATTATTATTATTATTATTATTATTAAATTCAAGGGTCATCCAGTCCATCCGTATTTTGCCATTAAAAAACACCATCCAAGGCAAGCCCTCTCAACAGATGGCCACCCAGTCTCACAGAATCCGAGAATTGGAAGAGGCCACAAAGGCCATCCAGTCCAACCCCATTTCTGTCAGCAGGAAAACTCCATCAAAGCCCTCTCTACAGATGGCTATGTGCTTAAAAACCTCCAGGAAGCTCCAACACAATACCAGGTAGCATATTCCACTGCCCATCAGCTTTTACCATCAAGAAGTTCTTCATAATGTTTAGGCGAAATCCTTTTAGGTCGCTAGTTTTGTCCACTAATCTTAGTTGCAAACTGATTCACTTGGTGTAACTCCCAACTGGAATATGATACCACGATGTGTTTACAGCACTGACAAGGTTAGAAATCTTGCAATCTCGGATAGTGTGTCATATCTGGAAAGCCCCAACTTCCAACTTGAGGGTAAGGGATTGTGGGAGCTATAATCTACAACATTTGAAAGGTGAAAAGATCCTCCGTCCCCAACCTAAGCAACGCACTCTTTGTTATGATAATGACACTTTGTTTTCACACTTTACCGTTCTCTGCTCCAGCCGTTGAAAGCATTCCCGTCTTCACCGCCCTCCAGTCGTCTGCCGTCCTGCGACGAACACTTAGGAACTTTTACGACGAGTTGCATCAAGTGGATGTCCGGCGCTGGGCCAGCTTTTTTTCGGCGGGTGTTGAAACAGATGACTTCCAGGAAGCCTTGGAGGAGCTGAGGACACTGTCCCACTGTTACAAGCAGAGCGATTCGGCAGAAGATTCAGAGGATGATATAGACTGATGGCTTTCCATGGTGCCTTCCACAGACATTTCGGAATAATAATAAACACACTAAAGCACCTGTTTTTCTCCTGAAGTACTGTTAATTATTTAATGGGGTGTTGTGTGGTTTCTGGACTGTATGGATGTGTTCTAGCAGCATTTTCTCCTGACATTTTGCCTGCATTTGTGGCTGATACCTTCAGAGGATGTGATGGTAGTCAAGCAAGTGGAGTATATATACCTGTGGATTTCCTGTCGTAGTCAACTGAATACGCATATATGGTATCTCTGCGCCTGTGCAATACAGCTTTCGGAACCTTCTAGAAGATAAAATAGACATTTTAGTCCCTGGCTAAGAACCATTGTCTATTATACAAGCGTAAAGGGTGCTGTGCTGTCACACCCAAGCTGTCTTAAATGTCTCTTTAGCATTAACGTGTCTTAACTTTCTGTCAGCTTGGGGGATACTGGATTGCCTTCCTGTTTGAGCAAGGAACTCCACAGAATCAATGTCCAGACTATGACTTTGAGGAAATGGTAACAATTTATTCACTGGTCTTGGGTCTGGTCTATCTCCACCCAGTCACTAACTTGATTTCACCTCAACAAGTCCATATTTAAAATTTGGAAGGTAACTAATTGTTGTTGAAGCTGCCAGTTGTGGATAATTTCTGAGAATAGACGACAGTTTTCTGAGGAGAATAGACAACAGTTTTCTGAGGTGACTAAATGACAGTTTTCTGAGGAGAATAAATGACAGTTTTCTGAGGCGACTAGACGACAGTTTTCTGAGAATAGATGACAGTTTTCTGAGGCGACTAGACGAGTTTTTTTTAATAATCTTTATTTAGCTTTTCAATAAATATAAACAAACACATTAGCACACATACAATAACAAGGACTGTACATAGACAATTATATAGGGATATTATGGGGATAGGAAAGTTGAGGGAGGGGTAGGGGAGAACATGGGGGAAGGAGCGTGGGGGAGGGGGATAGTTAAAAAGGGAATTGTGACTTCCTAAATAGTCTGCAGGATCATACAACAATATTCAAAAAAAATTTAAATTTTCCCTCCTCTATATAAATCCACTGTCTTGCTCACCGACGAGTTTCCGTGGTATTTATTTTCCCTTTAGAAAGGTCTTTACTGGTTTCCAGTCTATTTTTCTTTTTGGGCTCATATCATATACCAAGTTTGCGAGCACGTCCATTTCCATTAGCTCACTAACTTTTAAGAGCCATTCTTCTATGGTTGGAAGGTTTGCATTTTTCCACTTGCAAGCTAGGACAATTCGTGCCGCTGCCGCCGTATGGTAAAGTATCTTTTCTTTGTTAAGATCAATACTAAAATCCAATAGGTGAAGCAGATAATAGTCAGGCTTTAGTTTGAATTTTGTCTGAGTTATTTGCTGGGTCAGTTTGTGGACCTCGGACCAAAATCTTTTGACTTCTTTACAATTCCACCAAGAATGGAAGAAAGATCCTGGCTGTTTGCCACATTTCCAGCACTTGTTGCTGGCCCCCTTATAGAATTTGGCTATTTTTTGGGGCGTCAGATGCCACCGATAGAACATCTTACGCCAGTTCTCTGTTATTGTGACGGATTTGGCAAATCTAATTTTCTCCTTCCAGATGTTTTCCCATTCTTGAAGAAAGATGGAGTGACCCAGGTCTTTTGCCCATGCTGTCATGTTATCCTTGACCAGCTCTTTTTCGGTATCCCACTCGAGCAGCTTGCTGTAAAGTACTTTAATCAGCTTCTTTTCTTTTACCATTATTAAGTCCCAAAAGTTATTGGTCGGAGCAAAATCGTTTTTCTTGTCTTCTCTGAATGCCTCCATAATTTGGAAGTAGTGAAACCAGGATAGACTTCCATCAGTTTTTCTTAGAGATTCAAATGGCTTCAGTTCCCACTGGTTGTTCTTCTTTGTTATTAGTGTTTTATAAGTATGCCATTTATTGCTAGGGAGTTCCCTTTTGTGGAGTGCTTCGATGGGGGAAAGCCACATTGGAGTTTTTTGGTAAAGGTAGGGTTTATATTTCTCCCACACCTTAAGGAGAGCCGCTCTTATAATGTGGTTGGAGAAATTCTTCTCAATTTTGGCCTTGCCGTGCCATAAATAGGCATGCCAACCTCTCCTGATGTTGAAGCCTTCTAGGTTTAAGAGTCTTTTCTTCGTTAGTGTGGCCCATTCCTTGACCCAAGTTAATACACAAGCTTGGTAGTATATTTGTAGATCTGGTAGACTCCATCCTCCTCTTTCCTTCGCATCAACCAGTGATTTATATTTGATCCTCGCTTTCTTACCACTCCATACCAGTCTCATGATATCCTTCTTCCATTGCATAAAGCAATGGTTGGTTCTAAGAATGGGGATCATTTTAAATAGAAATATCATTCTGGGAAGAATGTTCATTTTTACTACCGCTATCCTACCGGAGATGCTCAGGTTCAGGTTTTTCCAACTTTCTATCTTTTTCGAAATTTCTTTCCAGGTTGTCTCATAGTTGTTTTTTATCAGCTGGGCATTGTTCGATGTTAACTGAATCCCAAGGTATTTTATCCTGTTCGCGATTTCACATTGGGATAATTCCTGTAGACTCCCCTTTTTGGCTGCGTCCATGTTTTTTGTCAAGATTTTAGTTTTTGCCCTATCAATTCTTAATCCCGAGACTTTCCCGTAGCTGTATATTGTGTCTAACCAATTTGAGATTGTGTTGAGAGGGTTTTCTATTATGCAGACGACATCGTCTGCGTAAGCCTTCACTTTGAACTCGTCTTTTCGGATTTTGGTACCCTTCAGGTTTTCATCCTTTCTGATTTCCTCCAGTAGAATTTCTAGTGTCAAGATGAACAGCAAGGGGGATAGAGGACATCCCTGCCTGGTGCCTTTTTCGATGTTTATACGCTCCGTCTCTTGACTATTGACCCAAATTTTAGCCCATTGCTTGGAGTAAATCGCACTTATCGCATTATTGAAGTGGAAGCCCATGTCTTTTTCCCTGATCGTCTGAAGCATGAAGTCCCAACAGACACAATCGAATGCTTTCTCTGCGTCGAGAAATAACAGACCCAACTCCTTTTGAGGGTTTGTTGCATAGTACTCTATTATATTCAGGATTGTTCTTACGTTCTCGCTCATATGTCTAGTTGGTAAGAATCCCGTTTGGTCCTCATTGATGATGTTATTAAGGAGTTTCTTCAATCTTTCCGCAACTATGCTGGCGAAGATCTTATAATCCGTGTTCAGTAACGAGATCGGCCTGTAATTTTTAACATTTTCTGCATCCGTTGCTTCTTTATGTATTAGGGTGATGGTTGCTTCCCTCCATGATTCGGGTATTCTTGCCTCTGTTAGTATATTGTTGAAAATTTCTTTTAGATGGGGAGTCAGTTCTTCCTGAAATACCTTATAGTACTTGGCAGAAAACCTTCTGGGCCCGGGGCCTTGTTATTCTGGAGATTGTTTATTGCTTTCGTGATTTCCTGCTCCTCGATTGTTTTGTTAAGGGCTTCTCTTTCCTCATCCTTTATTTTTTCAAGCTTGTGTTTCGCCAGGTATTCATTTATCTCCTCCATCTGGATCTTATCTCTTCGGTATAACTCGTCATAGAATTTTTTGAATTGATTTTTGATCTCCTCTTCCGTGTAAAAGCTTTTCCCATTTCTAGTTATTTTAAAGATATACTGTTGCTGTCTTTTCTTCAGGAGTTTCCTCGCGAGGAGTTTCCCTGGCTTGTTTGCATTAGTGTAATAGTTTACCTTCATGCGTTTTAAATTCTTCGCTAGCTTCTCTAGCTGGAGGGAGTTCAGTTCTTTCCTCATGAGTTCTAGCTCCAATTTAATTTTCTTATTCCTTGGTTTCTTCTTGAGTTCGGCTTCCTTGGTTTTTATATTCTTCATAAGGGTGGCATGTTCTTCATGTCTTTTCCTATTTCTGATTGACCCTTGTTGAATGAGGTGCCCCCTCATGACCGCCTTGCTGGCGTCCCAGATTATTTCTGCCCTTGTTTCTCCGTTTTTGTTAAGCTTGAAATATTCCCGGATATGCTTTTTATTGATCTCGATGTCCTCCTCAGTTTTTAATAAGTATTCGTTTAATTTCCACTTTCGTTGGTGGATGATCCCCTGGAGCACTGTGACTATAGGGCAGTGATCGGTCAAAGTTCTGGGTAAGATCTGAATCTTATCGATCTTAGTATGGTGTTCGATGCCCAGAGCATATCGATCCTTGACCAGGATGCGTGCCTATCTGAGAAAAAGGTGAAATCTTTTCCAGTTGGATTTCTAATTCTCCAGGCATCCTGGAGGTAGAATTCCCTTTTCAGTTGGAGAAAACTGGATGGTAGTTTACCTCCCTTTATGTCTCTCCTGTTCTTTTTTGACCTATCCTGATTACAGTCCATTACCCCGTTGAAGTCTCCCACTATGATTATATCCGTGTGGGTCTGTTCGCCGAGCTTCTTTTTAAGTTCTTTGACAAAATTTGTTTTTGGGCCTACTGGAGCATATATATTACAAAATATTATCTCCTGTCCATCTTTTTTAATTTTAATACCAATCATCCTCCCCTCTTCATCTTTAAACGCCAGCGTGGCGTTGATGGAGTTCTTTACATAGATTACTACTCCTCTTTTTTTTTGTGATGCGAGTGAGTGAAACTCCTTCCCGAGTTGTGGTTGTGTGAGATAAGTGCTATGTTTCGGGATGATGTGCGTCTCTTGTAGAGCTATCAGGTCATAGTTTCCTTTCTTGAGTGAGTTATAAATTAGCTTTCTCTTGTTTGGGGTGTTCAGGCCGTTTACGTTGTTAGAGTATATTTTCAATTTACTCATCACAGGTTGGTTTTGTTGCATACTGTGAAGGTCCCATGTCCTTCTCCTCGGCTTCATCTTCCAGTGACTCTGGTCTTGCTCTTTTCTTCTCTTTTCTCCTCCATTCTTTGTTCTGCTTTCCAGCCTCCGATGGTTGTTGTTTCTTCTTGTTCTGCTCCTCCTCTCTTGAGGTGCGTGGTATTGTTTCTAGATCTTTTAGAAGGGTCTTATGGAATTCCTTAGCTTTCTCCTCGGAGGTTAACCAGAATTTGTTGTCTTTATATGTCACTTGTATGCCTTCTACTCTTTCCCATGTGAATTTAATCCTGTGTTTTTTGAGTTCGTCTATCAGGAAGTAATATTTTTTCCTTTTATTCATTGTCATAGTCGAAAATTCCTTGAGTATAATCACTTTTCTCCCTTTGAAAGTTATCTGATCTTTAGGTTTCTTCTTGATGACTTCCTCGCGAACACATTTCCTACAAAAAGTGACCACTATATCCCTAGGGACCTTGTTCCGCCTGGCGTAGTTCGAGTTAACTCTTAAGGTTGTGTCTATCTCCTTATTCATCTCTTCCATAGTAGTGTTAAGCATTCCCGACGTGATTTCAGCTATTATTTCTCTCAGGTTTTCTCCTTCTTTTTCTTCTATGTTCCTGAATCTTAATTGGAAGTCTGTTTCTTTGCAGGCCCAAAGTTCTTGTTGTCTCTCTAATTTATCTAGACGAGTTTTCTGAGGCGAATAGACTACAGTTTTCTGAGGCGAATAGACGACAAGGTTCTTGTGGGTTTTTTCGGGCTATAGAGCCATGTTCTAGAGGCATTTCTCCTGACGTTTCGCCTGCATCTATGGCAAGCATCCTCAGAGGTTAGGGATACTTCCTCCAAGCTAGGCAGACGTCAGGAGAAATGCCTCTAGAACATGGCCCTATAGCCCGAAAAACCCACAAGAACCTAGTGATTCCAGCCATGAAAGCCTTCGACAATACATTGAATAGACAACAGTTTTCTGAGGCGAATAGACAAGTTTTCTGAGGTGACTAGATGACAGTTTTCTGAGGCGAATAGAAGACAGTTTTCTGAGGCGAATAGATGAGTTTTCTGAGGAGAATAGACAACAGTTCTCTGAGGAGAATAGACAACAGTTTCCTGAGGCAAGTAGACGAGTTTTCTGAGGCGAATAGACGACAGTTTTCTGAGGCAAATAGATGACAGTTTATTATTGGTTTAGAAAATTGACCTGAAATGGCTTGTCCAAGCCTGGATCTCACGGGGACCAACTTGTTTCCAAGATTCCCTGGTGGTCACTGATCTAAAATGGCCCCCTTTCCTCAGGCAAAGAGGCAGACAAAATGGCCGACACAAACCAGGAAGGGTTTTCTTAAACACCACCCGCACAAAATATATATATATAAATATAATATAAAAATATAATTCTAGTGTTTTTCAAAACCGGTAGCCAAATTTTGTTCATTTTCATGGGGTTTTTTTTGTAGAAATTGTCCATGTGCTTGTGGATTCCAATGGTTTCTCTGTGTAGTCTGACATAATGGCTATCAGAGTGGTGTGGAAGAACACGGACATTCTGGACCACTCTGGGGATACCAACATTAAGAACCTTAGATATGCAGATGATACCACTTTGATGACTGAAAGTGAGGAGGAGCAGAGGAGCCTTCAAACCAAGGTGAAAGAAGAAACATCAAAAAACCAAGATGGTGGCAATCTGATGGGTTGAGAACTTGCAAATAGAGGGAGAAAACATGGAGCCAGTGACAGACTTTGTATTCCCCGTAGTGACCTATGGGTGCGAGAGCTGGACCATAAGGAAGGCTGAGCGAAGGAAGAGAGACGCTTCTGAACTATGGTGTTGGAGGAAAATTCTGAGAGTGCCTTGGACCGTGAGAAGATCCAACCAGTCCATAGTCCAGGAAAGAAAGCCCAGCTGCTCACTGGAGGGAAGGATATTAGAGGCAAAGATGAAGTAATAAGAAGACAGTAAAAATTGGAGAAGATAATGATGCTGGCAAAAATGGAAGGAAAAAGGAAGAGGGGCCGACCAAGGGCAAGATGAATGGATGGTATCTGTGAAGTGACTGGCTTGACCTTGAAGGAGCTGGGGGTGGCCACGGCAGGCAGGGAGCTCTGGCATGGGCTGGTCCATGATGTCACGAAGAATCAGAAGCGATGGAACAAATAAACAATAAACCGACAACCACTATATATATTTCACTTTCTTGACTACCATCAGCTCCTCTGAAGATGCCAGCCACAGATGCAGGCGAAACATCAGGACAAAATGCTGCTTGAACACAACCATGCAGCCCGGAAACCATACAACAGCCCAGTGACTCCATCCGTGAAAGCCTCTGACAATACATTAAGTATTTAATTTTCCCAGCATGGTCAGCTGTGAATCACACATTCGGTATATTCCTCGTGCAGGCAGCAACGGACCGTTTTTGACCGTTAGAGTAGCCCCGCCCATTCTCCCCGTCAGTATAAATAGCCCAATAGTGGGGCTACTGCCACATTGGAATGGCATTTATTCCTTAAATAAATATTCATCCAAAACATCACTAAAGACCATTTATTCATTTTCCTACCATTGAAATATTTACATCAGTTGTTCTCTGCAGAACTTCCTTCCCTCCTTGCCGTTTTAAAAAAGGGACGAGGAGGGGAATGTCTTTGAAGGCGGCTTCAAGTGTGCTTTACAAGAGACAACAATCTCTCTTTCTCCAAAGATCTCTTGCTCCTTGGGTGCCTAAAAGCCTGGTTCCTCCTGCTCCTCCTCAGAGAGGACCGGATCTTTATCTGACAGCTGGTCTGTGTTGGTAGCACTCAGGCCGTCGTCCTCGTCCTCGGAGCTGATGTCGCAGGCCGTGTGGAAGAGAGCCATCAACTCCCTGAACCGGTGGGCAACCTGAGCAAATAGCACGGCAGGTTAGACAGACACACACAAACCACAGAGCTACTCCTGGAGGGATTTCTGGAATTATATCTCCAACTCTGGACTACTGATAATACCATTGGAACCGATGCCTGTCTACTTTCTCCCTTCTCCAGGTCTAAGAGGGCCTACCTCACAATGTCTCCATGGCAATGTGGCTCCTTTTGTGGCTCTTCTTTCCTCCATTTCCCTCATTTCCACTCTTATTTCTTTCCTTCCTTTCCATCATACCTCTTCCCCTTCTTCTTTCTTCCCTTCTTTTCTCTTTTTTTGCTTTCTTCCCTCCCCTCATACCTATCCCTTTTCTCTTCTTTTCCTTCCCTCCTTTTTCTCCCTTTCCTTCATTTTCCCTTCTTTTTCTCTTTATTCCATTCCCTCTATATCTATGTAAATAAAAATGTAATGTTCGTTTATGGGATTAACGTAACTCAAAACTCACTGGACGAATTGACACCGAATTTGGACACAATACACCTATCAGGCCACCCCTCAAAACACACAAAAAACCAGCAGAACGGACTTAAACCCCCCCCAAAATAAATTATATATACATATACACATACACACATATACATATACACATGCACACATGCATTCTCCTCCTGCCCATCCCATTTGCCACAAAGACATGCCTCTTCTGCTGTTTTGTTGCCCAGTTGCTGTGAGATGGCCCCGAAGGTGTCCGGCGTGGCTCCTCGCTCCTGGCAAGTGGTCAGAATGACCCGGTCGGCTTCTCTATATAAAAGAGAAAGAGGAAAGAAGCTTTCGGTCAGAGAGAATTCTTGATTGTGAAAGCCCCCCCACCTTACAGTCTGCAATAAGCAAAAACTGATTGTATTTGTTTCAAGAAAAACACTGGAACTATGAATAGATTTCTTAACCATGCATCCCAGGGATCCGAGGGATAAAGTAAGAGTTCATTGCACAAACCAGAGAATGAAGTGCTTCTGAGGACATTTTATGCAGACTATAGTAAGGGATTATCATACATTCAGTCATTGAAGGCACATTGGAACAGCCAAGTTTTCAGGCTCCTCCTAAAGATTTCCAGGATGGGAGCTTACCTAATATCTCGGGAGCGAATTCCAAAGCCGAGGGGCCACCACAGAGAAGGCCCTCTCTCTCGTCCCCACAAGTCGCGCTTGCAATGAGGGTGGGAGCGAGAGAAGAGCCTCTCCGGAAGATTGAAGAGGTCGCGTGGGTTCATAGACGGAAATACGGTCGTGCAGGTAGGCGGGTCCCAAACCGTTTAGGGCTTTGTAGGTCAAAACCTGCACATTGAATTGGGCCCAGAAAATGCATGGCAGCCAGTGGAGCTCCTTAAACAGGAGGGTTGACCGCTCCCTGTAGCTCGCAACAGTTAGTAGTCTGGCTGCTGCTCGTTGGACCAGTTGGAATTTCCGGGCTGTCTTCAAGGGCAGCCCCACGTAGAGTGCATTGCAATAATCCAATCTAGAAGTAACTAAAGCATGGACCACCATGGCCAATGAAAGCTCCCGGTGGCGCAGTGGGTTAAACCCCTGTGCCGGCAGGACTGAAGACCGACAGGTCGCAGGTTCGAATCCGGGGAGAGGCGGATGAGCTCCCTCTATCAGCTCCAGCTCCTCATGCGGGGACATGAGAGAACCCTCCCACAAGGATGATAAAACATCAAATCATCCAGGCATCCTCCTGGGCAAAATCCTTGCAGACGGCCAATTCTCTCACACCAGAAGCGACTTGCAGTTTCTCAAGTTGCTCCTGACACACACACACACAAAAACCCAAAAAAACGTGGCTAATACCATAGTCAATACCACAAAACTTTCCTGCCTACATTTATGACATGACTTCTGAGGAGCCATGACATCAGAGAAGATAAAGAGATCCTAAAATTAAGTGTCTACTCAAGAGCTGGCATCCATGATGTCTCCCAGCATTATGATTAGTATTATTAGCTTTGGGACAGAAGGCAGAGTGGTGCCTACCTGGTCCATAGGACAACCTTCTCTCCGGTGGAGCTGACCTTGATGTTCTTGGCACAGACCGTGGCTTCGACCGCTCTCTGCAACAAGGTGGAGCCTTCTCTACTTCCGGCTGTTGGCGAAAGCTCCTGTGAGCAGCCACTTGCACCCAATCCCGCAGTAGATCCTTCTGCTTGAGCCTGCAAGCCACCATTTGTGGCCACTGAGGGGTCTTCGGAGTGCGAAGCCCTCATCTCCAGAGAGGAAGGCTGGCTCTCCATCTCAGTGTCCTGGAGAAGTGCCTGAGAGGAAGGGATGGGTTCCTCTGTCCGTTTTTTGTCGAGTGGAAAACTTGGCTGCGGACTTGTGGCTCCGCATGTCGCAGGCTCCGAAATGTCTCTGCAAAGGCCCAAGGAGGCCTCTTCACTCCTCAGGCTGACTTTAACTTCACTTTCCACTCCGGTGGAGCTACTTTTGGGTTGAGGTGCTCTCAGTGGGGAGGTGGAGGTAGCAATCGTAGTAGCGGGCTGCTTGCCCACATTGCCAGCCTTCTTTAAATTGGGAGGGGGGTCTGGCACAGAGCACAGCTCAGAAGCCTGGACACAAGGCAGGGTCTTCCCTTCCAAAGAGACTTCTTTGCAAGAGGATGGCTTTCCTTCCATACGAGGCCCTGGGAAAGGAGAGAAAAAGGCCCCAGAACACATGATTCTCATTACCCACGAGAGAAAATATTTATTTATTTATTTAAAACATTTATATTCTGCCCTTCTCACCCCGAATGGGACTCAGGGCGGAGCACAGCATATACACGGCAAACATTCAATGCTGTTGGAATTTCCGGGCCGTCTTCAAGGGCAGCCCCACGTAGAGTGCATTGCAGTAGTCCAATCTAGAGGTAACTAAGGCTTGGACCACCATGGCCAATACTATAGTCAATACTACAAAATTTCCCTGTTCACATTTATGACATGCTGAGACACAAATTCTTATATGAATACATAAACATTAAAAAACATTTATCTCAATATTAAAATACACCATTTGAAACCATCCTAGTCATTTGCGTCAAATCTAATTGGCCTGGTCATCTTTCCTATTGCTGCTTTATTGCCCTGTCCTGAAAGCTTGGTCCCACAGCCAAGTTTTGACCATCCTTCTAAAGGACAGGAGGGAGGGGGCTGATCTGATCTCACCAGGAAGGGAGTTCCATAGCCGGCGAGCAATCACCGAGAAGGCCCTGTCTCTCGTCCCCACAAATCGTGCCTGTGACAATGGCGGAACAGAAAGCAGGGCCTCCCCGGAGGATCTTAATCTCCGTGATGGTTCATAGGGGGAGATGCGTTCAGACAGGTAATTTGGGCCGGGTCCGTTTAGGGCTTTATAGGCCAAAGCCAGCACTTTGCATTGTGCCCGGTAGCAAACTGGCAGCCAGTGGAGCTGGTGTAACATGGGAGTTGTATGTTCCCTGTATGCCACTCCAGTTATTAACCTGGCTGCCTCTCATTGGACTATTTGAAGCTTCCGATCAGTCTTCAAAGGCAGCCCCATATAGAGTGCATTGCAGTAGTCTATCCTAGATGTAATGAGAGCATGGACCACCGTGGCCAAGTCTGACTTCCCAAGGTACTGGCGCAGCTGGCGCACAAGTTTAAATTGTGCGAACGCTCCCCTGGCCACTGTTGCAACCTGGGATTCCAGGCTCAGTGATGAGTCCAGGAGGACCCCCAAACTGCAAACCACCAACCTTTCAGTCAGCAAGTTCAGCAGCTTTTTTAGTTTAATCCCCTCCATTATTTTGAAGTTGGATCATGCCAAGTTTGGTCCAGATCTATCAAGCTACGTGGGACCTTTGGGGTATAAACAAACAAGAAAATATACATACATGCATACTTTTGGCTTTTCTATGCCCTTAATCCCCCACAAACCTGCTCCAGAAGGATCTGCTCTCCTGGGCGTTGATCTCATCCTGTTCTGGGGAAGCTCCCCATCTTCCCTCAGCTCCAATCTCTCCTCCACAGGATCCTTCCCTTCGGGGCAGAGACTCGCGTCCTGCGGGCCAAGGCCATCTGCAAGCTCCTGGGGATCTTTATGTTTGAAGAACTTGCCATCCGCTGCCTGCAGACCAAATAGATGGATCAACAAGATCTTGTGCAAAAGCTTCAGCTCCCAACCCTCACGTGTTTCCTGTGCCAAAAATCCTACTGAAGTCCATTCAGGTCAGAAGTGGGAATTGTGCTGTCACATCCCATATGCTTTAAATTTTTAAACCGAAGAGCCAGCGTTCTCTGTCATGTGGCCTGTATGACTGCATGGAGCACCGTTACCTTCCCACAGAAGCAGTACCTATTGATCTACTCACATTTGCATGTTTTTGAACTACTAGGTTGGAAGAATAATATTGTATTTATTTTACTGATGGCCGTGGCCTCATGTAAGCCTCCCCGAGTCCCCCTGGGGGAGATGGAGCAGGGTATAAATAAAGTTGTTTTTTTAAATTATTATTACTAGTTGTCCCCTACCACGTGTTGCTGTAGCCCACATGGGGATTCTGTGTGGGCAGTTTGCCCCAATTCTATAATTGGTGGAGTTCAGAATGCTCTGTGATTGTAGGTGAACTATAAATCCCAGCAACTATAACTCTCAAATGTCAAGATTCTATTTTCCCCAAACTCCACCAGTGTTCATATTTGGGCATATTGAGTCTTCGTGTAGAGTTTGGTCCAGATCCATCATTGTTTGAGTCCACAGTGCTCTCTGGATGTAGGTAAACTCCTACTCCCAAACTCAAGGTCAATGCCAACCAAACCCTTCTGGTGTTTTCTGTTGGTCATGGGAGTCCTTTGTGC